TTAGCTCGATGCATTTAGTCCAGTGTCTTTCCAATTTTTTTATTCCTTCCAAGTAATATAATTTCTCGAGGTCCTCAAAATATACGTTTGTTTCAATGATGACCTCTTCGTTGGACTCAAATCTCTTACCGTCCAGCCATTTCCTCAGGTTTGGAAACAGGAAAGAGTCACAGGGGGCCAAATCTGGAGAATATGCTTGGTGGGGTAGCGTTCGAATACATACGTGTACACCCGTGCATTGTCCTGATGAGACAGCACTTTTTTTCACCAAATCGCATCTGTCCAAAAGCTCTGAATAATAATTTACCCTTTTCAAGGTAATCGATGTGAATGACACCTCGTGCATCCCAAAAAACTGTGGTCATCACCTTGTTGGCCGACAGACCCATATTGGCCTTCTTTTGGTGCACGTTCACCTGAAGAAACTCACTGTTTTGATCGTTATTTGGTCTTTGGTGTGTTGTGATGGATCCACGTTTCGTCAACGGATAAAAACGATCACACGAGAGCGCTTATGATCAAGTGTCAGCAATCGCAGCACCCATCGTGCGGATGCCTTTTTCATATCCAAATATTCATGGAAAATATGATGTAACCCCTCAGTTGAGATAGCTACAGCCTCCGCCACCTCACACACTTTTGTTCTCCGATCGTCCAGTATCGTTCCATGGATTTTTTCGACCATTTCTGACGTACCTAACAACCTTTTTTGGACGACCTGAACGTTCTGCGTCATTTGTGCTGGTACGACCACAACGAAACTCATTAAACCACTTATTAACCATTTAAATTGATGGTGCCCAGGCCCATAGCATTTATCAAGCTTTTCCTTTGTTTCTTTGCTTTGCTTTGCTTCTTTACTTAAAAAATAATGCTTTATTAACACTAGAAATTCACTTTTTTCCATTTTCGTCGAAATTGACTGTTCTGTTGACTGTGTCGACTGTTAAACACTAGCTAAATGACGTAACGTGCTCAAAATTTCACGGCAGTCTTCTAACAGACGACAGTTGACGGAAGTAGTGTTGAATTTAAAGTTACTGCGAGGGAAATTCAAAAAGTCACTGACTTATGAAACGACCCTCGCATCTCATATTTGAAAGACGCTGTATCGATTTTTCTTCCATCAGGAAAAGCACAATTTAAAATAGTAGTTGACGCGTCTGATTACATTTCCTAAGAAAAACTTTCGTTTTATGTCCTGGTATTTCCACTTAGAGACTCGCACTGAATACTGGCAATAAGTTTCATAGCGAAAATTCATTTCTGACCATAATAACATTATTTTATGTTCTCGGATCTTAAGGTATTGTTCACTAAATTTCAGTCAGAATTTTGAAACTGATGAACATAACTTAGTAAGTCTTATTTTACTATGTTCCCGGTGTTATCACATTATGATCTCTATGTATTTCAGGCAATACTGCAGCAATAAATGAAGAAAGGCTGCATTACTTTCGATTTTTACCACAAACCGGAATTGTCAACTTAAACAGATTGAAGTGGTTTTTCGTTGCGCCTCCACTTTCTTCTACGGAAAATATATGGGTTTTGCCCTTTGTAACGGTCAGTCAAGCCTGCCCTTTTAGGCAACTAATAAACAAGCAATCTACAACTTTTTTTGTAGAATGTGTGGGTTTTGATAACCTTTGTGATGATCGTATGGTACCTCGTACTTGCAGCGGTTATCGATTTCGAAATGAAATTGAGAAACATGGGCTCGATTAATGAAAGAAGTTGCTTTGTTGCAGCAATCGATCTTTTGGTGACGTCATTTACCCAAAGAGATTACCCAAAGAGATGTGTATAAGATGTTTGAATAAGAAAAAAATACAGAATGAGTCAAAATTGGTGGTCCAGAAAAGATCGTCAATCATGCAAAGGTAGTCAGTGAGATTTAGGTATTTAGAGGGAACGGAAAACAAATTTCAGAGCTTTTTTTCTGTGGGAGAATTGCCTCAATTTGTATCAACCTGTATACAGTGTGCCCCATAAACATGATCAATATGGTACAGCGGGATTATTTGAATCAAAAGAAGGCGATCTGACCAAAATTAATTCTTTAGGACTCCCAGAAAGTCGAGTGAATATGCTTCCTTTTTCTATCTATTTGTGTAATCAATTATTGCATAAATAATGCAACTCAAAAGCACTATTGTGTCGAATCCAGAACTATCGGGCCACTAAGCACGCCTATCGAGAAGCAAATCTTCTTCCATTAAAGTGAAAAATTTAGATAAAATTTTGAGGACCTCGTCGATAATCTCGGTCAACACGTTTGTTCTTAATACATTCTAAAACTGATTAAAAACGGTATTCTTCCGTGTAATGGTGGAAGTTTTGTGGATTAAAACGCCGACAAAGGTACCGATTCGGTATAATATAACACTTACTATTTAGTGGTAGGTAGAAATAAGTTGCATTTATTCAAACTTATTTTCAAACTTATGACTTGAATATTTTAGAATCCTAGTGACTTGGTGCAGGAAGCTACTCGTCAAAGGATTTACCAGTACGCTTTGAAAAATAGTAATCGATTTTGGCTTAATGCCTCGCAAGGTATTAATTTCGTTAAACAAGGAGGATATGCCTTTCATATTGCCAGCACTGTTGGGTATGTTTGAGCAAATGCAATTCCGACTCGTGCTACGTTTGGCTTTCAGATATGTTGAAGTTGCTAAACAGTTTGACGAAGCAACAAAACGATCTCTGCGTACAATTGATTCA